CCCACAATTTTCTTTCTTTATTTTTAATAATGGTGTGATGTCTCAATCAATAAAATCTTCTTTAGACAGTCAGGCACTCATCAACCATATGAGTCAACTGGCGATTGTTCACACATACCGCCTGGTTGATGAGCGCCCAGTTATTTGAAAAGACACTAGTTTGACTTGATCGCCATTGTTTAGGAGTTTTACATGTATAGACAACGTGAGCCTGAAAAATACCACAATAATAGATCTACATTTGATAAACCAAGCAGCTACTTCTTGATAAACTTCAGTATTTGGCATCTGGTAGCTAGGGATGGGTATCGTTTAGGTTTTATCCAATACCGGTACCAAACCAGTACTTTTGAAATGGTGCCGGTGCTTAAACTGTGCTCGAACCGGTGCTCGAACCGGTGGTTAAACAATGGAAAACACAAACTTTGTCCTAAAACCTCTCATGTTTAGCTGTTTTGGGTTTTTTTTTTGTAAAAAAGATAACAATGTTAGCCTTTTCTGCAGCTATAGGGCATATATGGTTTCACTCTATCAAACAAGAAGACAGCCGCATGAAACTACGATGGTGTTTGCTAGTTCACCTTACATGCATTAATGTAATAACGTGGTTAGCCTACTCAACATAAATTACACACGAACAACATTAAGCTACTCATGCAGAGAAGAACGGCTGCTGCTGCCATCATCATCCGTCAGGAGGGGCCAGGACTCTACTCTTCGGGTTTTTGGGGGATGTTGCAAACTCCGGGTCCCATAACAGGCACCACACCCGCTGTAGATGTGCTCGGTGTGAGGTCTCGCAGCAAGCTACCAAATACGGCGCATTTCTCGGCTTTTAAAAAGACGCTATGCGTCGCCAGGTGTTTCATCAGATTCGAGGTGTTGCCTCCTTTGACAGTATTACCTTAAAGCACTTGTTGCAGGCTGCTGAATTTACATCTTTTGTTGTGAAGTACAGCCAGACTTTGACCGCTTCACCTTGGGCATTTTTAATCTGTAGCTCTGCTCTAAAAGAACGTACGTACCTGGGCCCGCCTACTATCCTTGGAAAGGTAAAATGATTGGCTAGAATCCAAAGTTAATGACATCTCAGGGAAAAAAAAGCACCTAAATAAAGCACCGAAATGTGCGCTGCTTTTCGGTCTGGTTACTACCGTTTATGTCAGAACCAGTGCCATAATTGCACCGGATACCGGTAATCATCCCTACTGGTAGCTGCTCACACCGCTGTTTGAATAAATTACAGCCATTTCCAGACGGCTAACATCGCCAGACCAGGCTCAACCAAGATATTTCCCAGTGATCAGTGGTGGGAAATATTTCATCTGGCCATTTTTGTAAAAATGTTAAAAGTACTAAAAGCTTGGCAAGGTCTTTGCACCACTTTAATGGATTTACCCGATTTACTACATTTTGGTGTGCAAAAGAACACATTTTGTTTTAAAGGCAAATGAATCAAATGGTCGTATCCATAACACTGATGAACTTTCTATGTTGAATATATCAAGTAATGGAAAACCTAGACAGAGCTTTGAGTCTGATGACTCATCAGACCAGTTGAATTGGTTCAGACTTTCATTTGGCACGTAGCTCCGTCACTCTCTCCTCTCGCTCGATCAAATGTCCTTTTACCTTGTGACCGTGGGAGAAGAAAGAAAAAGAAAACTTTCTATAAAATAAGGGGAAATGAGTCACTGTGTTATTACAATCATGCTGTGCTTCTGACTAACACGCTCGTCCTGTTAGAGTAATGTATGCCTTCTACAATGGCCACAGATGAACCGCATAGAAACATTGTTTTTATGTCCTGAGCAACTCACAAAGTACCGTAATGTAGCATTCAATAAAACTGCATAGAAACTGTTATCAGTTCAGAAATGTTGCAAAGTTTACACAGAGTTTGAGCAGGAAGCCAGTCCAGGATTGCTGTTAAAGATGTTATCTGACCTGGGATCAGATTACTGCCTATTCTGGTCCATACGGTGTGTGTCCTTTACTTTGCTCTGGTAATTGTTTTGAGTTACATGTGTTTTTTTCCCTCTGTATCCTTTATGGATCTTACATCACCATCCTTCCTTTTTCTCGTCTTTATCTTATTTTGTTTTCAGTGCAGTTCTTATCACTATTATGCTTCACATTACCTCTGTGTATCTGCCATCCGCCACCACCATTTATTCTCGGAGCTGTCAAAGAAAAGCATTATCTGTTCCTCCTTGCTGACTCCTCTGGAGCTCTTCCCACTGTAAAGCAGTACTTACTCTATTTATTTAAAACATATTTACATATGGCACAGCACCAGAGTCAGGTCATAAATCAATTTTTACTGCTTTGTATTTCATTACATAGTGCCTCTACTTTTTTAATGTTTGCTGTCAATTTACAATTTGCCTAAGAGCAGTTGCCATGCTCATTAGTCTTTCAGCTGTATTTTCTAAAAGCATGGTTTCCCTTTATCTTCAAGAGAAAGGGTCAGAATTCATTATCTGACTGAACATTAAATTAGTTTAAAAAATGCTGAAGAAGAAATAAATCATCAGAAAGCCCATCTATGTTCTGAGGCAATTAATGCTAATGTTGGTGTCATTTTAGATGATGAACCATTTCATAAAGTTTATGAAGTAATTATTTATTTTTTAGAGAAAAAAATGAACATCATTGCCCTTGCATATTTTGTGTAGTGACATCAGAAATATTTATGGAAATAATAATCGCATAACTAGACAAAGCAAAGCCACAATAGCTGCAGCCTGCTATTTTTTTTTTAAATTAAATAATTGTGGGAAATTATTACGCAGAGGAAAATTGGTTTCAGAGGTGCAATCCACATATGTGTGACACCAGTGTTAATTTACACAGTGGTGAGCAGCATGGTTGTACAGAGAAGGTTAGTGAAACGGAATTTATGCAAACAGATTTTCATAAAGTCATGATTACAGACGAGTATAATCCAACGAAACCGCTAAAATACAAACTTGGGTATTTTTCATATCTATACTCACCGGTCCCTTTGTTAGGTGTACCATGAGTATTGACTTGGGCTGGGTTTCAATTATCGATTTTCCGATTAAAATTGATTTTAGCTTAAATAACACGATATCAATTCATTAAATCCTGAATCGATTTTTAAATATAAATGTATTTTGCCAGAAATGCCAGAACCTCAGGTTAAAGCTTTCATTTCAACAACCACCAAACAGCTAAAACAGCAAATGAGAGACTGGTTCCATGCAAAGCGTGGATCTGAGGCATCAGAATCTTTGAGTTGTCGGCTTTCTCACCCGACGCCACGTCCACCGGGCCTGAAAGCCGACAGCTCACAGATTCTGATGCTGCAGATTTCGTCACTCTATGACCAAAATTTACTGAACTAGCAGCAAAAGATCCAAACTACGCTTCACATTTGATAAATATTGTTATTAATTCCCTCCTACCTTTGCTGTTTTGCTTCCAACACGATAAAATCACACTTCCTGCACTGCTCTCACTCTATTTTTTTTTTTCAAATCTTACCTCTGACAGCAAAGCCTCATTTCTGCTGTTTAATACCGAAGAAATTTAAACTTTTTAAAATTAGACCAAATTGCAAAACGCTTAGCTGTATATATGGAGCGACTGCCTCTCTCTCTCTCTCTCTCTCCTGCTGCTACTTCAATCATGAAACTGAGCAATGATCAGCTGATCGGCTTTTCTGTCGTGAGTCCGTCTCTCTGGTTTGTTTTTGGTCCACTTTGCACCAGAAAGAGGAAACCAGCGGCTGGACAACAGCAGCACGTTTAACCTTGATCAGCTATTGTTAGAATGTATTTAATATTACTTTCTACACCAGGATCTTTTTCTACGTAGCTGGCGGCTGGTAACTGTGCAGGGGCGGATCTAGCAAAGTTTAGCCAGGGGGGCCGATAGGACATTAACAGGGAAAAGGGGGGCACAAAGACATACTTTTCTTTCTTATTCTCATTTAAAATGTCGAGCTTTTAATAAATAATTATCTGAATCTTACACCCAAAGCTTTAATCTGATGTAAAATGTATAGAAGTCCATTACTGTATATAGTAACTGTTAAGTCTGATATACCCTAGTAAACCATACTACTTTTTCCTTTGGGAAGATACCATCTGTGCAGTCTGCAGTTCTGTTGAAGAAAGATGTTGAATCTATTTAATTCTTCTTCTTGAAAATAATTGATTTTTGTGCATTTTGTTTCACACTGCATCAAATTAAAGTTGATTACATCGATTAAGCATCATGAGGTGGAGGGTGGGGGGTGGTTCCCTATTTTTTTTTTTTTTGCTGGGAGCTTGCAACCTTATTAATTAGGTTGCTTACTCTTTTAAAAAAGCAGAATAAGGAGGATGGTGCAGGTTTAACTTTATTAGATTGATCAGTTTTGCTGAACTATGAAATATTTTGGGTGCAGTGTATTTTTTGCATACAGGTATAACAGAATAGCTTTAGTGTTGTTGTTTATTTAAACTTGAATTTGAACTTACACAAAATGCAGCAAGATATTAAAAAAACAGTTTTAATTAAAACACACTATATCGGATTCATATCAGTACCAGCCGATATCCAAATTTATGATATCGGTGTCGGACATAAAAAAGTGGTATCGTGCCATCTCTAGTATTGACTGCTCGTTAGCACAAAATGACAACAAGACCATCTCCTCGATACACCGATGGTCTTTGGTCTCAGCTGCAGGTTTCCCCACGTGATGAAACGTTTCTCCCACTGAAAACACTACGTCTAGATGAACAGAATTCATTTTCTGGAGTTTCCTTAACTGGATGATTGGGCATGCATCAAGACATTTAAATCATAACGTCATTAAATCAAAAAAGAAGGTCTAAGCTATTACTAGTAAGGTGTACCTAATAAATTATAATGAACACACCATTATTTATAGAAGAATGTAAAGACCGAAAGGGTAACAAAAACCACAAGCAATGAAAGCCTTGCTAATGTAAGTGTTTCTGCGTAGATTGTAGGGAAAATAAATGTTGAATAAAAACAATGGTGTAAGTGGAGGACATGAAGGAAACCATGAAACTGGGGCAGTGTCCTGCAGACAGTCCTGCCCTTAGACCAAATGAACTGCTGCAGCATGATGTGAAGATGGATGTTCAATGAAGACACCAGAAACATGAAGATCCGTTTTATCTTGATAAATTGTCCCAAATTACTTCTCCTGGTGTAATAACAAGCCAGACTCTGTGAGTTCACTCATCCAGTGTGTTCAATTAAGACTTGCAGAGTAAAACTGTTTGGGGTGTTTCCAGCTTAGTTGTGTTTGTCTCTAAATGTGACTTAGATGAAGACCAGTCTGCATTCGGGAGTAATTAGTGCACCAAGCGACAGCTCTTAGAGCAGGATAAGAATTAAATATAACGAGCTGAACCCAGCTGGGTAAAGTTTACAGACACAAATGAAAAATGAACAACTGCTAATAGCAAAACAAAGAGATGATTTTTACACAATGGAGAAACAGAAGCTAAATCAAGCTTTCAGTATCCTTGTTTGCCATTAGCACTGATTGAACAATCAGGATTTGTTGGGCTCCTGGAAGCCACAAGGGGAAAACAAGTCATTGCCCACGCGGCTAAAAGTAAATGTGCAGTGAAGTGAGGTTGTAGCGCTGCTAGCGATGCGTTGTTAGCTTGGTAATGCATAGAAGCCACGCGTAGGCAGAGGGAGGCAGCTAGCCAAGAAGAGAGGTGGTAAACAGGTCGGTAAATACTGACATGACTTGTCACACTTTATATTTCCGCTTTTTAAAATGTCTCACATTAGCCGAGCCATGAGAGATCAAGACAGCCCATAACTTGGCTGTGGTACGGGATAATTGAGCGTCACCGTGGCATGTGTGGGATCTTCTGTGTGTTCCAGGTGCAGGTGGTTTCCATACATGCCGCTGCTTCTTATCGCATGATGTGTTGATGCTAGGTGGTGTTTTAGGCACAGCTGTTTTAGCTGCTACCTTCAGCTACCTGAGTGGGAGACACAAAATAAAACATTCAGGAAACAAGAGAGGAAGTATCTAACTTAACTGAATGATTGTTAACATCAAGAAAAAACTAAATTTCTTGAGAGGTGTGTGAGATATTTGACAGATATGTCAGAGGATATCAAAAGCGTAAACATAAGCTGTTGAGACGACAAAGACGGAGGAGAATAGCAGGCAGTTAAATATGACTACATAGTATTTCAGAATCACAGTATTACACCAGCAGCAGCCTGAACAGCTGACACAAGATCGGATGGATCCTCGTTTCGTGTTTTGACCACACCATGAAAGAGTCACAGCAGGAACTGAGAGACCAGGAAATGTTTTTCCGGTCTTCTGTCGTTCAGTTTTGGTGAGCCTGCGGCCTCAGCTTCCTGAACGGTGTGGTCTTCTGTTCTGGTATCCTTCAAGGTTCCACATGTCTTCTTTGCACCTTAGTTGTAACAGCTGAGCTGTTGCTGAGCTCGAAGCAGTCATCAGCTGATGCCACTCGCTGAGTATTTTCTTTTTTCAAATCGTCCTGTAAATCTTAGAGATGATCGTGTGGAAAAATCCAGGTAGATCACGAGTTTATGAACGACGTCAGCCCGTCTGACACCAACAGCCTCGCTGCATTCAGTCATTTAAGTTCTCTTTCTTCCTCATTCTGATGCTCACTTTGAACTTGAGCAGCTCGACCATATCTACATAGCCGAATGTACTGAGTTGCTGCCAGGTGATTGGCTGATTAGATTTGCGTTAACGAGCAGTTGAACAAGTGTACCTAATGAAGAAGCCTGTGAGTTTGCATAGTTGATGTGCATGCTAGAAAATCTAAGCACATGCTCAGTTTTTCTCTCTCGTTTGCTCATTAACACTCGTCAGGCTCTATCATGGCTTTCAGAGCTACGTGTTAAATTAGGCAGTGCAGCTGAGACATAAACATGGTTTACATGCCGTGCAATCAGTTCACTACAGACGGCATACGCTACAGTAATAAGACAAATTATGTCTGTGAATAAAGTGGATGAGCTGAAGCTTCAGAGGACTGAGAATGAGTGAAACTGTAAATGTTCACAGAATAAACAGCTGCGTTGATCTTGTTTTAAATGAACGTGAGTATTAGAAATATGGAAACTGACACGCTTGTCAGTCTTTTTAAACAGTCGAGTTTTTTTGTTTGTGATACTTATTTCTTTCTTAGAATGCAGACGCTGTATCAGGTCACCGATCCACTGTATGGTAATAGATTTGAGTTTTAGTCAAAAACAAGGCTATGGCGCCACTTAGTGGGCAAACATGTGATGAACTGGCGAGAACAGGTTTGTGAGTTGGTGATAAAGTTTAATTTCTTTTTGCTCTGTTTATCTTTTTAGTAGAGAAAATGTTTTATCTTGCTTTAATTTTTTAAATCTGTATTTTTAATTGTTGTTCTTTCTTTCTCTTCTCAGGACAGCAAAGAGCCTCCGGACTGCTGCCTCAGTGAGTCTTTCACTTCCCCTTCCTGCACTCTGGGAGTCGACCTGCGCCGAGGACGACGGCGTTTCTCGGGCAACCTGCAGCTACCCCCGCTGTCGTGGCGTCAGGGGGAGAGGTCACGGACGCCTGACGGAGAGATCATGACGAGGCCGACATCCCTGCCGTTTGGAGCTCCTCCCAGGATAGACATCACACCGGTGGATCCTGAATGGTGAGTGGGCTGAAACAAAGGTGGTGTACAGTTAATCTCACAGGAAGAATACTATGAGAACATTTTGTCTCGTATGTTAGTGGAGTAGCTCTTGCAACATATGCTATGGGTGACTTTGGGTTTTGTGCATTAGGGAAGGGTTAATGAACATGTTTCTGGGGCATCTGGCATGAACACGCGAGCTCTTGTTACCATGTTGCTCTTCAGGTTACATTGGTCTAAGTGTGACAGAACTCCACATTTACACAGTGAGTGAGTCTGTAATGCCTCCACACTGACTCGTGTCACAGAAAGGCAGTGATCTAGTTCCATAATAAAGGCTAAACTATAACATATTAAAATCCAACAACTGTTTGGTTTCCTTCAACACAGATAAGACAGTAATTCATGCTTACAGTTTGTCAAATTGAGAAAATGATCAACAGCTCGATTCATTATTTCAATCATCGAGTAGCAGATGGTTCGTGCTGTCCTTAATCACGTAATTCTGGGTTTGACTCCACCTTCTTTGTGGAGTTGGCGTGCTCTGTCAGTGTGGGACTGCAGCATTCCTCCCACGGTGCTACAGTCATGCATGCAATATGGCTGGAAATCAGGTGCGAGTGTGAGCACGAAGGGCTGTGTGTCTCTCCGTGAGCATCCCCTGCGATAGACTGGCGACCTGTCCGTGGTGCACGCCACCTCACACCTAATGAGAGCTGAGATGGTCTCCAGCCCCCTGTGAATGAAAGTAGTGGTTAAGAAAATAGACAGGTGGATTAAAACTATCATTTATTTATGTCTGATACAAAGTAATTACAATCAGTTGTTACTTATTGTTACACTGTTATACATTTAGTACTTTAACATCACTTTAAGCACTTTAGTTGCTCTTACAGGTAAAAATGTGCTTTACAGTGTGGAATCAGTACTTCTGTGTAAGTAATAGGATTACTTCTGCATAACCTCTACATACATATCTGCCTTCTAGTTGATGATTCAGTTCCTTTGATTAAAATGAGCTGATAATAAATACATGCATGGCACTGAAGTTCGAGGTTAATGACATATTTTATATTTTATAATACACATATTTTTAAAGCTAGTCAAGCTCTGCTTAAGTGTTATATAAATGTGGGTAGAATAACTAATCTTTGCAGACAAGCATCAGCAAAATGAATCCTCAGCTGTAGAGGGTACAGAAACCTCTCTGCATCAGTGTCTGATTTTTCATGTCCCATTAACGCTGATGAAGATGATGCTGCCTCTTTACATTATTCATGCACTCGGCCCACAGAGAAAGTGCATCCTGGTGCACACCGGGCACTCGTTCACAGCAGGAGGCACAATGTGCAGTTTCAGATGACACGTACACAAACGGCGTGTGGCTGGCTTTTGGTTGGAAGCCTGTTGTGTTAAATTCAGATACACTTTTGTTAAGCTGGCCAATCAGCCCTTACTGGCTCGTTACTTGAGTACTCTCAGTGAGTTTGATGTTAGGAGAGATAAATCCAGTTAAGGCACACTTGAGTATGAGTTGCCTAGTGCTTACTTCTCTTCAGATAAATGGATGTTGAAAGGCAGCTGCTAATTAGCAATGATTGGCACTGAATTTAAGTGTATGTGTTTATGTGTGGTGTATGGATGCGTATGTGTGCTGCTCCATAGTGAGTCGACACAGTTGTAGGTGACGGAGGGCTCGATGTGGCTACAATGATTTGTTTCTCTCAGAGAGCACATGTGTCTGTGTTTACAACAACAGATTGTAACTTTCTCCAGTTTTACACGCAGATAAAGTTTCAGCCACGCCTCATGTCTATTCTAATTTTGCTAGACAAGTGGGGAATACAGTAAGTGCAGCAGTTTATAAAAAATCTGCAAACACAGATATAAATAAAAAGCATAAAAAAAGGTCCGGGCTCTGGTGAGGCCAATCCACGGCTGATAGTGTTCCCGTATGTGTTTTCCTATTATGGAATACTTTTACTGCATTGGCACTGTTCTTGGGATCATTGATTTTGGGGCAAGCTGCCAGTAATTCCTAAAAATACACTTTAAGATGAGTCTGTTCGGTGCAGACTGGTGCAGGCTTGGGACTTTCACACAGTACTGTAAACAGTTGAAAAATGTAATATTTGTATTATACAAATGAAGTAATGTTTCTGCTATTAAAACTGTCTGTTGGGAACTCTGCAAGTCTAATTTTATTGATATGTTGCTAAAAAAATATAGACAATACAAATGATCAGGAGAGATGTAACAAAGTATCCAAGGCAAACTATTCAGCTGTTAAACCTGTCGAACTCCAGTCCTCGAGGGCCGCTGTAAACTTTTAAATGTGTCCCTGCTGCAACACACCTGAAGAAAGTTAATTGGTCTTTAGCAAGAATTGAGTGCATGCTGAGGTGGCAACCCCCTAACCGTACTCAAGTACATTTAAATGAATGTAAGTTTTTGAAAAAATGTTCATTCATTTATGAATTGCCGCCTCAGCATGCAGGGCAGGGATAGCTCAGTAGGTAGAGTGGTGGCCCCATGATCGGAAGGTCGGGGGTTTGATTCCCCTGAACAGCTACCCTGAGGTACCCCTGAGCAAGGTACCGTCCCTACACACTGCTCCCCGGGCGCCCAATGGCTGCCCACTGCTTCACTGAGTGAATGGGTTAAATGCAGAGAGGGATTTTCCCCACGGGGACCAATAAAGTACACTTTCTTTCTTTCTTCTTTCAAGTTCTACAGAGCCTTGCTAATGACTTAGTTATGCTATTCAGGTGTGTCGCAGCAGGGACACATGGAAACGTTTTAGGACTGGAGTTCGACACCAATGTATTAAACCAACAGTCCAGGCCGCTTTTCTCTGAAACATCAAACAAAGCCCTGCATGTGGATGCTGATGTACAACGTCCTCGTTTGTGGATTAACATGACTGCGTGTTTAAAAGTGTTGTACCTTCTCTTGTAACCAGCAGAGTGCAGTGTGTTGATTCTAGCTGGATGCACACATGCAGATTAAAGAGCAAACATCGTGTAAATGCAGATATTCGGTGCACTGGATGGTTAAATGTTTGTAACCCAGTTTACACCATTTTGGACATTTGTGATCTGATGTTCATCGAAACACCTGATGTTATATTGTTTGGAACGACTGTAATAAATGACTCCAGCAGAGAATTCAAAATATGACGTTTATTGTTGTTTTTCTTTTGAATTTGACGGCTCTGAACATCCTGTAGATATTTACTGCATTTATTTTTGTTTCTGTTAACAGCGACTTTACTGATGGCAGCACAGTCCACTCCTGCAGCCACAGGCTTTGTAGCAGGTGAGGCGTGTGTCAGCTGTCAGTAACCTTGGTGTCAGAGGCAGTCGTGTTTCCCTCGTGTACTCCTCCCTCCCGGCTCTCTTCTCTTCTAAAAACCATTACGCTATGCTCCCTAAATGTTGCGGTCAGCACAACCTTCCTCAAGTCTGATTACTCTCTCCCCCTGTGAAGCCATGAGCTGGTGGATGTGTGCGCGACTGTGTATTGTATGTGTTTACATGTTTCTATGTATATCTGTCTGCAGTGCAATTTTAAATCCAAGTCAACAACAATTTGCCCCATCCCTCCTCTTGATCCCGTCTCGTTCCACTCGTACTTATTTAAGTGCCTTTCTCAGTGATTACGAGGAGGAGGAGGAGGGAGCAAGAAGTTATTTTGGGATTTTAATTATTTTCCTGCTGATGTGCACAATTATTTTCAAGCTTCGAGTGCCTCGTGCATTGATTGTTGAAATTGTGTGTGTTTGTGCAACTGCGCATAAGAACCTCTGCTTGTGAAGATGGGAGCTACAGTAAATTTGTGTCTTATGCATGAATATGTGTGCAGCATCAGACCTTAAAGACAGCCTATTACGCTCATTTGCACCTCATTTTCATTCTTGGATCTTAGCAAAGGAGCTTTGTATGATTTATACCTCGAAATAATCCCCATTTGTCTCGTATAGCCCCTCATATTCATCCACTGCCAGCTGCTCTCCCTTTAGGCCACCCTTACTTTAAGCTGACGCCCTTCTGATTGGCTTCACCCCTGAATAATAAGGTTTGATCAGCAGATGGGAGTGATTGAGTGATAATGATTTCTCCTTCCTTTGACTAAAAGAAGTAAGTAGTTAATGCGAGCCTCCACCACTGTAACATTAAACATGTGACAGCGCACGAGGGAAAGCACATTAGTTCCCCTTCAGTGTAACTGTAGCTGTGATACTTAGTGCATCCCAGCTGAAAAGGTGGTGACTGGGGGCAATTTAAGGATGCCAGAGTTGTGACATGTGAAGTTGAGCATAAGACAGGTGATTAGCTGTTTTGTGTTCATTACATATTGTATGCTGACTAATTTGCATGAAGGTGAGGGGTGACTGCACCAGAGATGAAATATGATAAAGCACCAAACTAGTGTGCAATTTTCATGATGGGACAAATTCTCCTGAAACTTTCACAGTGACCACATATGTTTAAAATATGGGTTTTCTGGTCAAATATTTTGCCTTGTGTTGCTCGTGGTCTGATGACTGAGGTAATGATTGGCCAAAAGAAAGTTCACAATGGATCGACAGAGCCTGCAGGTCTGCGGAGTTCTGTCTCAGGTAGCATGTTTGAAAAGACCGTGCAATGCATTTCTTTCTTTACCAGTTAGAGTGCAATAAGACGTTTTACCATGCTATACATTTTTTTTATGCTTTGAATTTTTACTGTACTTGCATGGCTATAACTTCTATCAGTGATGGATGCTTATACATCTTCTCTTAATAGAATACTTTCATTCTGCATAGTGCATTTAGCTGTTTAAAGTTAAGTCAGTGGTATTTGTGATGTATGATGATGAAGGTTTTCCCAGAATGAGTGAAATTTTCCATGCTGAAAGTCTGTTTAAACTTGATTTGGAGCTATATTTATTTTTTATTTCTATTTTTTCCCCATCGTGTCACAGCGTCACTGGCCAGATTATGACTTGTCTGCACTCGGTGTACTTTCTTTGTGTGATGTGTTTTGAGCACTGCCCTCTACGCTGGTGTCCCAGACGGCTTTTGTGTGGGTGCTGGTGATCATCACGGCCAGGAGGCAGAAATTGGATCTTGCACTTTTCATTTTAGCAAGCAACAGATGAAGGCAGGCAGATTATGCACTGTGGCTGCAGTTCCAGCAATTCAGTTACCTCCAGGAAGAGCGCGTGGAACGTTCAACATGCTTCTGATGATTAATCATCCTTTTTTTGTAGCTGGTTAAATGTTATACATACTTATTTGTAAACATGTACAAGTCGTGCACGCACAGTTTCATCAGGTTTTTTGTTCACTGCCAGAGGGAATAAAAACGCTTGTGTAGTTACCTCAGATACTCTGACAGATTTTTGTTACATGGCAATCCTCTCATGTCCGAGTCTGGCTGAGAATTAAACCTGAGAATATTCTAGTCTGTTAAGCTGTGAAGTGACAGAGACATGGAGTTTTTTCTTTTTTTAATCTGTCTGCTTATACTCAAACATCCCAGAGAGAAATCTGTCATGGATATTATTTTTCACTCTTATCTAGGAATGTGCAACAATGTCACCTTCAAATAATAATACTCTTTGTTCAGCCTTCTTTCTAGATTATTTTAGGCTCATATTGTCGTTTTCGTCCTTCTTTTTATGTTTATTTCTGACTTCCTTTTTTCATTTCAATCGTCCACTGCTGTAACTTCAAAGTATAAATAATGCAACACCTCTTTTTAATTACCTTTCATGCTTTTTCACACATGACATTTATCTGCTTTTCTGTGTTTGAATCTCTCGTTCCGTAAACCAGCTCTGTAAATCTAGGCCACAATGCAGGATTGTTTTCACTAATGTGAGAGAGATGGCGTGTGACAGGGGGAATAAAGAAAAGAGGGTTTTATGTAGCCTGAGGAACGACATCAAGAGCTTTCTCAAGACCTAAATACATCCCTTGCAACCTGTACTACAATTATCTGACCCCTACGCTCGTGTAAGACCTCCTTCCCTGGCAGCACACTTCTAATATTGTCTAGCTCAGGGTCTCATTGTGGGAAACCAAGTGAGTAAAGGTGCATGGGACGAGAAGAGGCGTCTTTCTTATACGCTGTGAATTATGGAGAGTGACAGATAGGGGTTTGAGGGGAAAGTATACTTGGAAAAAATTAAGCCAATACTAATTTAGCAAGTTAAAAATATATGAACAGAAACATGTCAGTATCTATCCATCCATTTTCCTGACTGTGCATCAAACCAAGGTCACGCTGGGGCTGGAGCCTGTGCTGGATGTCAGGCGGATACATAACAGCATATTCATGAATGTATTCATTTATTTTCATCCTAGAAAAGCACTGATCCCAATCAGAGCTCGTCTCCATCTGTAAAAACTGTTGCAGCAGCAAATATGCCAGCTATCCTAGCACCGAAGTCGCCACAGTTTGAAAAGAGAAGTAAAGCAAAGCCGAGCCTTAAGGCTGCTTTTGTTTTAATGCATTTTATCACACTCTTAGTAAGATGTGTGAAAAACACTCTTCCCAGGATCCTTTAGGCCAAAGACACATCTATAAATTACTTGATCAGTATTTAAAAAAAAGAGAGAGATTAAGTTTTTTCATGATGAAAAACAAGAACTGCTCATAAATGTAAAGATGAAACAAAGAATTTAAATTGTAAATTCTTTATTAATAGCTCTGTCTGTATACCAGCAGATAATCACATTATTTATGTATTTATTAGACACTGATGGTCTTGGAGAATAAAACTTAATGTCTAGTAATCCCCAGATTAGTTTTTCTACTGTCTGGTTCTGTGCAACCAAAAAAACCCGACTACTGCATTTATTGACTTCAAATTGACGCTATAAAAAATAACAAGCTGGTTCAATTTAAAATAACCTGGAATCTAGAAAGCCTAGAAATAGCACCTCCATTGAACTGAAAATGTTCAGTTGACACATATACATGCATGTATGGGAGTTATTTTAATCTAAAATAATAAGCCGAGTTAACTAATAACAACACTGAGAAATTAGCCTAATCAACTTTATCCTGTACAAACCTCGCTGCAACGGCACTGAAATACTACTGTGAACAGCTTGGATGGAAATCTTAAGCTCTACAACCAAACATGTTGTTCTGTTTTTCAAGGCAGCCAAGTTACTTTTTGACAAATAGTTCAATTTACAGTGTAATGCCATTTTTCTGTAAAGCAAATTTACCTTGCCTTTGGGTATAAATAAAGTTACCTTGACCTTGACCTTGTCCATCCATCCTGGAGCCTGTCCCAGCTGTCTTAGGCAGGGTACACCCTGGACAGGTTGGCAGTCTGTCGCAGGGCGGGGTCTTTCTGTGTAGAGTTTGCACGCTCTCCCCGTGCTTGCGTGGGCTCTCTCTGGGTGCTCCAGCTTCCTCCCACAGTCCTGACATGCAGTTAGTGCGGTTATGTTAATTGGTAACTCTAAATTGCCCGTAGGTCTAAATGTGTAAAGGTTATTAAATGTAAGATATTCACATATAGTTTTGTGGTAATTAATTATCAAATGACATGGTTAGCTTTATTCCAGCTAAACATTAGCATGTTAGCGTATATAAATGCATATAACTAAAAGGACTGACAAATAACTCAAATTATTGTCAGTTATTGTGAAATTATTTTTAAACAATTAATTTAGTAATTAACCAAGAGCTTTATTTTTAGGGGTGGCACAGGTGCCTAAAACATAATCCTAATGTAAAGGTCAACAAATGGCCTGTCAGAGCTTCACAACTTGCTGCAGGGGCTGTTGTGTCTCAGGTCCTCCTGTGCTGTGATCATAGTGCTTTCATTTAAGCCCTCAAGGATGTGAAATCCAGTTTAACATGGAATCCAATGGCCCAGTTACTCTTCAATTAAATCTCTTTCAATCTTTCTCCTGGCATTGGCTCCCAGTTCTTCTGTTTTGAAATGCGCTAATGTGCAAGAGCCAGCAGTCATTTTTAAGATTTGTGTGCAGGTCTCTTTGATTTTTCTTTATTTTCTTTCCACCATTGGCATGGATCTCTCAGGAGGAACCGGCAGGTGTGAAGAGTAACTGTCAGTCAACAGTTACTCTATATGTTCAAGATAGCTAAGCATAGAAGTTTAAACAGTAATTGATGGGGCATCAGTTCATGAGTCTAACCTTCTGTCTTGTCCGCTAATTTATGGATTAGCATCCTTTGCTATCAAAAGAACCATTAATTATGGATGAAAAAATCAGTATGAAGCTGCAAAACATATCTGATCTCTATAATTAAACTATAAGTAATGGAAATCTTTTACCATATGGGATT